CAGGCACCTTCAGGCAAAGCTTAGAGGTTCATGCTGGGGGCCCAGTTAGAGGGAGAAGATGCAGAGGGCATAGGCGGAGTTCTGTACTGTGTGTGTGTTCCCTTTCTCCAGTCTCTGTGCTCAACGTATCCATCTACACCCCTCTATACCGCATGCCACACCTTCATCCATACCTCTGTTCTTCCAGCAAAGCTGAGGGGTTCATGCTGGGGGCCTAGGCAGAGGGAGAAGATACATAGAGCATAGGCGGACTTGTCCTCATATGCTGCCAGGAGGTTGTTCAGGCCTGGTGATAGGAGGGCGGGAGTGGGCAAAGAGAGCACACACAGGCCGGTTCTCTTGGTGCATTTTGAGCCGCTTTTGAGAATTTTCAAAAGTTAAAGTCGAATCCAGTTACACCTCATGGGCGGGCGGACTTGTCCTCATATGCAGCCAGAAGATTGTTCAAGCCTGGTGAGAGGGCGATGGGAGCGTTCAAAGAGAGAGTACACACAGGTCGGCCCTCCTTGGCCATGTGTGAGCGATAGAACCAACGAATGTGATTATTTGCCGTGTCGTACTTTCTAAATTACATGACAGCAGAAAAGAAACGCTTAAATTTGAGACAAAACGTCAACAAATGAATGTTTGTGAGAAGAGTGACTGCAAGGGAAAAAAACAGACTGCATGTGAAAGCTACGAGTACACATCAAAACCACAACACCATGAGTGAGAAAATGAGGGCATGGGACTGGAGACATTACCCTCATGACCGGTCTTGTCCAGAAACCACTTTCTGCAGCCACACATGCAGTCCGGCAGGCAGTAAAGCATTCACTCAAGCATCCAGTCAACCATTCAATTAACCATCACGTCAAGCAGGCAGTCAACTCGCAACATCAGCACAAGACACATGCACCACACGCACAACACCATGACATCACCACAAACGCCTCGCACTCCAGCCCACACAGAAACATAATAAATCAGAGAAAAAAGGAGGCTGAGAAAAGCAGTCACAAGTGAAAGTAGATGCAGGTAGTCAGAATGCGACAGCTTGCTTTGATAATCAAAGTTGCTTTCAGACTAAACACAGAAGGGCGGAGGCGGGGGGAGAGCACTGCAGTGTTCTTGCAGACAAAGCAGCTTGCTTTCAGTCGACTCTGACTCACAAGCCAGCTAGTGTGTGCCTTACATGCATGCACGTGGCTTGAGACACGGGCTTTCTTGGATGCACGTGGCTTGAGACACGGGCTTTCTTGGATGCACGGAATCAGCATGTGAGCTGACATATTTTGAGACATCCAAAATATGTCAGCTCACATGCTAATTCCGTGCACTTGAGAACACATTTGAGCTGACACAAAAGACATCTCGGCAAATTAGCATGTGAGCTGACACAAAAGACATCTCGGCAATAGTGTGACTCACATGTATGGGCCTGCAACAGTCGACACGAGCGAATCGACATGTAGACACACGAGAGGCAAGTTGAGGAAGAGAGGGAAACAGGAAGAAGTGAGCGAATGAGAGAGGTAAGGAGGCCAAAATAAAAGCAGAAAACGATCAAGGTGAGGAACAGGGAAAGTGGGAAACAAACAGGAAAGGTAGCAAACAACAAGTGGTCCCATGCAATCTGTGGAAGTTGAATGTCTCTTCCTCTCCCAGCCCCGCGAAGGTATGCCTCGCGCTGGAGCCCTCGCGCTGCCACGCAAAGACACACCCCCTAAGTGGGGTTCCATTGAATGTCTCTTCCTCTCCCTCTTGTCAGAAGCCAACTCAAAGGGCTTCAAAGCTCCCTTCCTCTCCCCTTTCCTGCCTCCCCCTTTCCTGCCTCCCCCTTTCCCCCACGTTTTCCCACCACATACTCGCTCACGCTCCATCTACCCTCTCCCCTTTCCCTTCAACCCTCTCCCCACTCCCCTCCCTCCCCCCTCTTCCCCCTCCCTTCTCCCCTTCCCCCTCTCCCCTCCCCCCTCCGCACTCTCCCCTCCCCTTTCTCCCACCCCCGTCGCCTCCCCACCTGGCAGGCCATTGAGTGCATTGAAGCACAGGCACGTGTCTTCCACAAGCACTGGACCGTCGACCTGTCACAATCACATGAAACACCACACATGCACATTATAATTATGGGAAACACCGAACGAACACGCTACAATGACAGGAAACACCACACACGCGGGTTACTACCACAACACACGGAACAAAGTGCACGCAAAAGCGGGAACGTGAATACGACCATATCAAATTTTTAGACTCCTCCAAACAAACCGTGAGCATCAAAAGGACCGAGCATGCAACTGGATGAGGAGGGAGAAGGCATCGGGAACGAGCAAGTTATATATTGAGAAGGAGAAGCAAATTGCGGTGAGGCCGAAGGGGGAGGCAACTACCTTAGCTGCAGCGAGCCTGGCCTTCTCCTTGGAGATGTCTTCCGGCTCGCCCTGTAGCTCTGGTACTGCCATGGAGGAGGGGAGGGTGGAGAGAGCGCAAGAAGAGTGGGGAGTGAGAGTGAGATAGTGACCTTAGCAGCAGCGCGTCTGGCAATTTTCTTGGCGATGTCTTCCGATCCGCCCTGCAGCTCTGGTACTGCCATGGAGGAGGGGAGGGTGGAGAGGGTGGAGTGAGTGTGAGCGGCGGAATGGGGGAGGAAGGAAGCTATCAGTCTGGAATTCTCCAGGTTTTCTGGCTCGCTCTGTAGATCTGGTACTGCCATGGAGGGGAGGGTGGAGAGAAAGTGACGAGAGTTTGAAGAGAACGCGGAGCCGAGTGTGGTGAAAGTGTGGAGAGAATATGGTGATAGCGTGAAACGATTGTGTGTAGAACGTGAATATAAACTGAGGGTATGCAGGGGAAAGGAACGTTAATGGATTCGACAGAATTTGAGAGAGTCGTTTCTGAGACGTCTCAAAGATCGCAAGGCTCTTTGAGGAGATACTGAGCAGCGAGCTGCACTGGCCTGTAGCTCTGCGAGGGAGCTTTTAGGCGCCTCAAAAAGCGAGCTGCACTGGTCTTTAGCTCTGCGAGGGAGCTTTTAGGCGCCTCAAAAAGCGAGCTGCACTGGTCTGTAGCTCTGCGAGGGAGCTTTTAGGCGCCTCAAAAAGCGAGCTGCACTGGTCTGTAGCTCTGCGAGGGAGTTTTTAGGGGCCTCAAAAAGCGAGCTGCACTGGCCTGTAGCTCTGCGAGGGAGTTTTTAGGCGCCTCAAAAAGCGAGCTGCACTGGCCTGTAGCTCTGCGAGGGAGTTTTTAGGCGCCTCAAAAAGCGAGCTGCACTGGCCTGTAGCTCTGCGAGGGAGTTTTTAGGCGCCTCAAAAAGCGAGCTGCACTGGCCTGTAGCTCTGCGAGGGAGCTACGCAGGAGAGGGCAAGCCGAGCCAGGGGCCACAGAAGCACTGCGGAAGCAACAACTCCTTCGTGCAGTGCTGCTGTGGACTCAGAGAGTCTGGATCGCAAGAGAACCTATGAAGCAAGAGAACCTAAGAAGCAATGACCTATGAGTCGACTCAAAAAGCCGCTCGGACCTGGAAATTCTGGAATGTAGAAGCTACGGGAAGCTGCTGCAGGGAGGCTCCTGCGATCACGCTAGGAGGAACTGATTTCGAAGAGCAGTTGCCGAAGCCATTGCTACTACTCCTGTCGCAGAGGTACTATTCCTGTCGTAGAGATATTATTCTTGTCGCAGAGGTACTAATTCCGTCGCAGGGCGACTCACAATCGATCTTCCGGCTTCGCAGGGCGACGGACGACCCGAAGATCGCCTTCACCTCCTCCAGTTTCTTCGCATTGCCCGTCACGAACGTTATCGGGTGAATCACTTTCGCAGCCGCCGCCATCGCCGCGTTACGATCGATCGCAAAGATAACGGAAAACAAACCCTCCCGGTCGCTCTTGATCCTACCACCTCAGATCAGGTGGAAGCACGCGCTACGGGATTCGGGAATTTGGCTTCGGAATTTAGAAAATGGCGTTGGAGGCTCAAAAACAGCAACACCCAGAGGCACAAAGATTACAGACACTGAAAAGGGTTTAGATGCGTTTATGCGTTTAGATCGCGGCACTGTATATCGGAGTTGCTATGACGGATTTGCGGAAGCAGCGTCATGTCACCCCAGCGATTGCCACAAACCAGGGTGACACTCGCGAGGGGACTTCTCAGCACGAGCGGAAGCCTTACGAAGATCGTAAGCTCTTGCGAATTCTGGTTACAAGGATGTTTGCCAAGCGCAAGCCTGTTGAGCCTCGTCGCGGATATTTGTGTGATCGGGCATTGTTAGTGGACGTGTCGCGTTTGCCGAGCCTTATCACACTCAAGGCCAGAGAGCGTGCCACGCAAGGGATTCTGGTTGATGTGTGGCGCTTGCCCCTTATGTCCGAAGTTTGCAGGCTGGTTTGGGAATGTTGATTGGCGAAAAGGTTGCAGTTCGGCTAACGACGAGAAGCATGTTGCTCTCACCCGCAGACCTCGCTGTTACGCCCCACTGCGTTGTCATACCTCGCAGCCAATCAGAGCCCAAATCGAGCCCCAACCAAATCGCGCCCGAACCTAAACACGACACGAAAGGTGCTTGTGTGAACCCCAGCTCTAGCAACACTAAGCTCTTCGTTGTGAGTCGTGACTCGTGAGTCGTGTCGTGCCTAGTGACTACTTACCTTCTGGATTGCCGTCGTGAGTGCGTTTTGCCGTAGCATCGCTAGCATCCAAAAAAATTCTCGACTCAGCTCATCCGCTCTGTGCTAGGTCCTTTTCCGAAAAGATAATCTCACGGATTGCTACTGAGCCGTTCAATCACCCGCTTCGCAATGATCAACGGTACTGCGAATAGTGCGCCGAAGGGGGCCGAAGCGCTTCCTTCGACATATCACCCAGTGACTACCTCCTTAGATTCCCTGCCGCAGCTCACGCCTCAAGATAAGATATTCATAGCGGCGCGCTGCTTCGTCGTGGCCGTCGGTCTGCTCCTCGTAACTTTCCACTTTTTCAAGGACTCTGCGACGTGGCACTCGCCTATTGAGTGGTTCGATATGAGTGCATTCAATCATGCTAAGTTAGCGGCGGATTTCCGCCCTTTCGATGCTAATATTTCGGGGAGCGTTTACCAGGAAGGATTAGCGGCTGTATACATACCTGCTGATTCCCCACCCGCTGTAGCCTTACCTGCTGATTCCCCATCGGCTGTATCCATACCTGCTGAATCCCCGTCTGCTAAGCCCCCGCCGCCTGAAGGGGATAGCCCTCTCGTCGCTTTCGATCGCGTATTCGCCACTCTGGTCTCATTCCAACAAAAAGGTCGATTTTCGTTCGCCAATGTCGCGACGTTCAATGTCGACCCCTCAGTTACCAGCGCCTCCGTCGCCACGCGCTACAAGCTTCTCTCGCTGCCCGTTCCACGTGTGCCCGAGAATCTGACGTGGCCCGATATGTACCCTGTTTGGGTGAACGAATCTGACGCATCCTGCCCGAGATTTCCTGAACTGGACTATCCAGATTGGCTGACCAGCATCGACGCCATTGTCGCACATGTGCCCTGCGACGAGCCTAGCGATTCCTGGGCGAAGGATGTTCGCTGGCTACACCACCTTCTCACTATAACAAGCTTCGTCACAAAGGTACTGTATTCCAATCCCCCTCATCGATCTTGTAGCAGCATCGCCGCCCGTGGGATTGTTACCAGTGGTGCTGCTATCCACGTGTCATTCGTTCTCCCTCTCCCATCCCCCCTGTACCGTGGCAAATCGCCCGTGGTAACCAGTGACGCTACTGTCCTCGTGTCGTCTCATCCATTCTCTCCCATCCCCCCTGTATCGTGGCAAATCGCCCGTGGTAACCAGTGACGCTACTGTCCTCATGTCGTCTCATCCTTCCCCAATTGTAAATAAGGGTTGGCTGAAGTTCAGCCAACCCTTCTCTCGGTTCCGCTGTTCCAGGTTCGCCGCCTGTGGTTGCCAGTAGTGTTACCCTCCGCCTTATTCGTCCAATCCCCTTGTACTATCACTCTTGTAACAGGCGAATCGCACGTGGTTACCAGTGGTGTTGCTCTCCGCATGCCGCCCGCCGCCCAACCTCTTCCACTGCTCGCGACTCGTGACGCGGGAGGGTGACACGTGGCTGTACAACCTGACGGCCAGTGACATGCTGACACGTGTACAGCCCCTGGGATCATGCGCCTTGGCTCAGCCTATCAACAGCAAGGTGGCAGGTAGGAGACAAGAGGTTAGTGGCAGAGTCATAGGTTGTCATTGTATTTCTCTCTTGTGCCATTGTAACGAGGTGGCTTTTGAGTCGACTCAAAAGTCACCAGAGTCATAAGCTGTCATTATGTTTCTCTCTTGCGCTGCATGCACAGTAGCGTACTTTTATCCGTTCATAATTGAACTCCTTCCTTCCACGTTCGTCCCTTTCTTCCCTCCCGCCAGCCAACCAACGCGTCGCGTATGCTACAGTGCTACACTCGTCGGATCGCTACGTGTGTGGCGCAATAGTACTGGGGCAAAGCATAAGGAGGACGGGCAGCAAACACGAGATGGTTGTGCTTGTATCGAAGGAGATTCAAGAGGAGAGCAGGCGAGGGCTCAAGGAGGCGGGGTGGACGGTGAAGGAGATTGAGAGGATTCGCAACCCCCACGCACTCAATGGGACTTATAACGAGTGGAATTACAGGTTTGTGTGTATTTATCGAGTAGAACTACAGGCCCGTGTGCTTGTACCGAACTACAAGTTTGTGTGCTTGTAGCGAGTGGAGGTAGAGGTATGTGTTCTTATAGCAAGTGGGGGTCAACTTGTGTTTGCTTGTTATTGGCAAAAATCCGTGGTTGGTCTTGGTGAATCTTGTGCGTCTTTCACCCACCTATTTCCTTTTCAATCACGATTAGCTTTATTATTTTCATCTGACCAGTAAATGTTTTTGTTTTGTGCCAGGTGCACAAAATTTGATTCAATCGATAAATCATTGTGCTTCTGTGGGTTAAGATGACTTCTGCCACTGTCTTCTTTTTTACTTGTTGACTCATTCTGACATACGCTGACTCGTATTGACTTGTTGACTCTTCTAACTCCCCCCTTCTCCCCATTCCCCCTCTCTCCACCCCTTCAACCCCCCCCAACCCCCACCCCCGCCCCCCCCCCCCCCCCACCAGCAAGCTGCGGCTGTGGCAGCAGACGGAGTACACCAAGCTGCTCTTTATTGACTCGGACCTGCTCCTCTTGAACAGCATTGACTTTCTCTTCTCCTACCCCGAGATCTCCGCCCGCGGAAACGACGGCACAGATTTCAACTCAGGCGTGATGGTCTTGGAGCCGTCGGATTGCATGTTTGAGCTGCTGATGGCAAATCTGGAGCGAGTGCTATCGGAGAATGGAGGGGACCAGGTGAGACCATGTTGTTATGTCATGTGATGCGACTCCCTAGTACCCTCTTGCAGCGGAATCCAGGTGAAAGTTCAAAAGGTATTTATTTTATTTTATTTATTTCGAGTGGCTGTTGTGAAGCTGAAACGAACGCGATTGGCCGACGATGGGGGCCAGGTGAGACCAAGATGTGATGCGACTCTCTAGCACCCTTTTGCAGGTGATATCACTCGTGCAATCCAAACTGCATAAGTGTATATCATTCTGAGTTGATTGTCAGTTCCTGTGGCCCTCAATTCCACTGTTTTTTTTTTTTCCACCAATTTCCCTCACACTTCCCCCCCCCCCCCCCACCCAGGGCTTCTTGAACAATGTCTTCACCTGGTGGCACCGCGTACCAGATTCCATAAACATCTTCAAACCTGTCTGGACCTCTGACCCAGTGAAGAAGCAAGCACTCGTCTATATGAAAAGCAGGTGGTTTTCAGAAGACCCTTCGGAAATCCACGCAATACACTACCTTGGTATGAAGCCATGGTGGTGCTATAGTGAGTTTGATTGCAACATTCTGATACCCGAATTTTTCGACTTCACTAATGAGGCAGCTCATAAGCGGTGGTGGAGTGCACACGATTCACTGCCGGAGCCACTAAAGCAGTTTTGCGTGATATCAAGTCAAGCAGAGGCGAAGCTGAAGAAGCTGATGGAACAATCCAAGCCGAAACCAGCGCTGTAGTTACTGAATTCCATAGGTTTAAATTATGCTTTGGTTTTTCCGGTACTGTACATAAATACCTGTCCTCCTTAGTGTTGGAGTGGTTCGCGGAACCACACTAATGACGGCGCACAAAATACGGTTGAGACGGCAGAATGAAGGCGACGGAAGCGTGTGGACTATTCTAGAGAGAAGCGGTGGAAATCGGCCTACGACGTGAGAAGGGAGAGAGAAATCGAGAAGGAATGTGTGAGAAGAAGCATTGAGGTTGAAGTTGACTAGGGAAAAATGTGGTTTGAGACCAAGGCGCGTTCGAGAAGGTTCCAGATTCGGACTTGAGGAGTGTTTACCGAATTCGGTTCGGTTACGTGCGCGACTAGGGGTGAAACGAGGCGCACGCGGTTACTTGGGAAACAAGTGAAGTTACGAATCGCATTTTGTGTCTTGCTTGACTATAAACCTGTTTGTACTCATTCTGGAAATACAGCATTGATCAGTTGGAGATTCTGAAAGTTGCTGAAGTGTGTATTGACAACTTCAAACAGAGCTGCGCATATCATTGGATTCGTGAGATCGCGGAGAACACGATAAGCGATAGCAAGTAGACTATTGCCGACTAAGGTGTTTACGATCCTGAGAACTGGTATCAGAGCTGGTTTAAGTGGCGTTTAAGCATTCTAAAGTGCAGAGCGAAGCTTTCGAGATGGTCGGCGGACAATCGGAAGCTAGTTCGGGCTCCTCTGTGAGTATTGGAGATCCCCAAGTGAAGGCACTTCTGGAAATGCTGGCGCAAGGAGGGGTGGTGACCAAGCCCACTATGAGGCTGAACGAAGCCCAGTGGTTCCACGGCGAGCACTACAGCACGTGGCGATTGAAATTCATAAGGAGGGCGAAGGAGGTCGGCTTGTGGGAGTATTACCGACCGGACGAGAAAGGCGACGAAGCCGAGCATGCAGCGAAATCGGAAGAGGGAAAAATGGAATTCAAGAAACGGAGTAAGCTAGCGTTTTTCCAGTTGTGTCACTCTGTTGCAGACAGAATTGCAGTGGGTCTTGATGGTTTTGCACAGCTTGAGAACTCTGCACAAGCGGCATGGGCGTACATGGAGTCTACATACCTTGGGCACATGGACGCGAATATCGCCGATGTGAGGAAGAAGTTGATGCTGATGACCATGGAGCCGAACCAGAAGATTATTGACTACGTCAACATGGCGAGGAGCTACAATGATGACTTGACTGCGATGGGCGAGCCGGAAACTGAAAGGGCGATAATAGGGCACATCGTCAACGGGCTACTGTCAGAATATTATAGCTTACTTATTTGTGTAGGCTATAGTGGGGTATCCCATAGGGGGTACAACCCAACTAGGGTTTCCTATTTGTACTCACTTCATTCATAGTTCATTCATTCACGTTCCTACTTTCACATGGAATCAGAGCAGGTCCCATCCTAGGGACTATTCTCTAGGGCCCACCGAAGCGCGCCCCGAGGCGCGCATTTTTTTTTCTCGCGACCCTCAGTGTCGCCCTTCCCCTTGCGGGCCCGCCGCCCTCTAGTCGCGGCCCCGCCGCCTTCTCCTCGCGGCCCCGCCGCTTCCTCGTCGCGGCCCCGCCGCCTCCTAGACGCGGCCCCGCCGCTTCCTGGTCGCGGCCCAGCCGCCTCCTCGTCGCGGCCCCGCCGCTTCCTCGACGCGGCCCCGCCACTTCCTCGTCGCGGCCCCGCCGCCTCCTCGTCGCGGCCCCGCCGCTTCCTCGACGCGGACCCGCCGCCCTACCTGCGGCCTACCCGCCGCCCTACCTGCGGCCGTCCGCCGCCCTACCTGCGGCCGTCCCGCCGCCCTACCTGCGGCCCACCCGCCGCCCTACCTGCGGCCGTCCCGCCGCCCTATCTGCGGCCTACCCGCCGCCCTACCTGCGGCCGTCCGCCGCCCTACCTGCGGCCGTCCCGCCGCCCTACCTGCGGCCGTCCGCCGCCCTACCTGCGGCCCACCCGCCGCCCTACCTTCGCGGCCCGGCCGCCCTACCTACGCGGCCCAGCGGCAGCCGAGCCGCCCAGCAGCAGCCGAGCCGCCCAGGAGCCGCCGCGCCGCCGGGCAACCTTCTTGGAGCAGCCGAGCCGCCCAGCAGCAGCCGAGCCGCCCAGGAGCAGCCGAGCCGCCCAGGAGCCGCCGAGCCGCCCAGCAGCAGCCGAGCCGCCCAGCAGCAGCCGAGCCGCCCGGGAGCCGAGCCGCCCAGCAGCCTAGCCGCCGAGTCGCCAGGCAACCTTCCTACCGAGCCGCCCGACCTGCCCTGCTCGGTGAGCACCGTACCGCTGTCACTGCGTGCCCTTCCCCTACTGCTTGCACTGCCCCACTGTCGTCGTCATGGCTACACCCAGTGTCCTCGCTTTTGACGCTGAGGGTCGAGCCGTTGACTTTGAGGTCTGGCTCGATGACCTACAGCTGTTTTTACAGTGCGATAGGGCGGACGGCCTTTCCCTCTTTGACGTCACCTTTGGCGCCGTCCCTGCCTCTGCTGCTGATGCTGACGCCAGTGTTCGCTCTCAGTAGGCCACGCGCGATGCTGCTGCACGTCTTGCTGTGCGTCGCCACCTGCCTACCGCTGAGCGCATGCACTTTAGCCAGTACAAGAGTGCTCAGACCTTGTACGACGCTGTAGTTGCGCGCTACTCCTCCCCTGCCACTACTGCACTGAACCGCCTCATGCTCCCCTTCCTCTTCCCTGACCTTGCCGCCTTTCCCACTGTCACTGATCTCATCACGCACCTCCGCACTAGTGACACTCGCTACCGCGCTGCGCTTCCTGCTGACTTCTGCACCAAGAACCCCCTCCCCATGTACATCACTCTCTACTTCTTAGTCACTCGCCTCCCTGACTCCCTTCGTGTAGTCCGGGACCACTTCCTCGCGGTCTGTCCCACCACCCTCACAGTTGACAGCCTCGAGAAGGCCCTCCTTGCAGCAGAGAAGAGCATAGTCGCTGTAGGAGCCTCTCGAGGTGACCCCCGCGCCCCCATCTTTGAGGGGTGTTCTCCTTCCCCTCTCCTGCCCTCTGTCGCCTCTGCCGCTGCGGCCGACCTCGTTGGTCTTGAGTCGGTCGGTGCGGCGTCTGCCCCTAGCGGGAGACGCCGCTCTGGCAAGGGCAAGGGGGGCAAGGGAGCGGGTGGGGCCAGTGGGGGCGGTGGAGGTGGAGGTGGAGGCGGCGGAGGGAGTGGGGGTGGCGGTGAAGGTGGTAGCGGGGGTGGGGGTGCTAGTGGCGGCAGTGGAGGCAGGGGTGGCGGCGGCGGTGGCGGTGGTAGCGGAGGTGGCGGAGGTGGCGGTGGTGGAGGCGGAGGCGGGGGCGATGGAGGCGGAGGGGGGGGTGGCGGAGGTGGAGGTGGTCGGAGTGGCGCTTCGCAGCGGAGCAGCACTTGGGGCGGTCAGCGCCAGCAGCAGCAGCAGCAGCAGCAGCAGCAGCGTTCTCGCGACGTCCCCACCCCTCAGCAGCTCCGTGAGTGGTACAAGTAGCGTCAGCGCAGTGGGGGTTTTGGTCCCTGCACCTACGTTCTCCGCACTGGCGACCGCGCTGGAGAGCAGTGTGGGGGTACCCACCCCGCCCAGCGCTGCTTTGGCTGCCTGACGGACGCTTGGCGCCAGCAGTTCCCGGAGGCCGCGGAGATCCCCCGCTGGGGAGAGCTGTCTAGGGCTGGTGTAGCTATCTTTGATCTTGATTTTGATGCTATCCTTGCTGCCATGTATGCTGTGACCATTAGTGATGAGGGTGACTATTACCGGTGTTTCCCGCCCGGCCCGGGCATTGGTACTGCTGCTCTAGGTACCGGTGAGACTTCTGCTCTAAGTGCCAGTGCGTCTGTGCTCTCAGGTGCTGGTGAGGCTGCTCTCTCAGGTACTAGTGCGTCTGCGCTCTCAGGTACTGCATCGGCTTCGGCCTCCCACACCTTCACCCTTGACTCTGGAGTGTCTCGCTCTTTCTTTCGGGACCGCACCACCCTCACGCCGCTTAGTCGGCCGGTTGCGGTTTCCCTGGCTGACCCCTCTGGGGGTCCTGTCCTGTCTCGCTTCTCCACAGTCCTCCCGTGTCCGGCGGCTCCCTCTCGCACCCTGTCTGGTCTCTACCTCCCCTCGTTCTCTACGAACTTGGTGAGTGGTGCTGACCTACAGGATGCGGGAGTGACGCACTGCACAGAGGCTAGCACGGGTCGTCACCTAGCTACGTTTATACGTCAGCCAGGCTCGAGCCTGTACACACTGACCACTGCTTTTCCTCCAGTTCCTGCGTCTGGTAGGGTCCCTTCGTCAGGTCAGGTGTTTGCTGCAGCGTCCAGGTCTGGCCCTGAGTCTGCCCCCTGTTCGTGTCGTCGCCTGTCTCACGAGACTCTCCTCTGGCACCATCGCCTTGGTCACCCCTCTCTGCTTCGGCTCAGAGGCATGGCCTCCCGTCTTCTTGTGTCCGGTCTTCCCCGGTCTCTCCCTCCCCTTCCTCAGGGACCTGGCCCTACCTGTGTCCCCTGTGTCGAGGGGCGCCAGCGTGCTGCCCCTCACTCCTCCCAGTTTCCTCCGACAGAGGCTCCGTTGCAGACGCTTCACATGGACGTGTGGGGCCCTTCCCGCGTCCGTGGACTCGTTCACGAGCGCTACTTCCTGCTGGTGGTTGACGACTACTCGCGTTACACCACAGTCTTCCCCTTGCGCAGCAAGGGTGATGTCACTGAGGTGCTGATCGACTGGATCCGAGCAGCTCGTCTCCAGCTCAGGTAGAGCTTTGGCTCGGACTTTCCTATGTTGCGTCTGCACTCGGACAGAGGCGGAGAGTTCTCCTCTGGCCTTCTGCGTGCTTTCTGTCGTGCGCGAGGCATCCGCCAGACCTTCACGCTTCCGCACTCACCGCAGAAAAATGGGATTGCTGAGCGCCGCATTGGCATGGTCATGGACGTCGCTCGTACGTCCATGATGCATGCGGCTGCCCCCCATTTTCTGTGGCCGTTTGCGGTCAGGTACGCGGCGCATCAGATCAACTTCCACCCCAGGGTCTCCAGGCCGGAGACCTCCCCAGCCTTGCTGTGGACGGGGAAGGTTGGCGATGCGTCGGCGTTCCGGGTCTGGGGATCTCGGGCGTTTGTCCGCGACTTGTCTGCGGACAAACTGTCCCCTCGCGCTGCTCCTTGCGTCTTCCTGGGGTTCCCCCCCGACGCCCCTGGGTGGCAGTTCTACCACCCCACCTCTCGACGTGTTCTGTCCTCCCAGGACGTCACGTTCGACGAGTCAGTGCCCTACTACCGCCTCTTCCCCTACCGCACTCCGTCCCTCCCCCCGCCCCCGCTCTTCTTGGTTCTAGGTCCCCCCCTGGTAGACCCCCTCCCCCCTCCGGGTCCTGCCCCTTCAGGTGTGTCCTACGTAGACGCGGTCGAGCCTGTCGAGGTCACTGGTGACTCTGGTGCTGCTGCGTGAGGTGAGCCTGGGGGTGCTGGGACTGGAGGTGCTACGCTTGGGGGTGCTGAGCCTGGGGGTGCGGAGTCTGGAGGTGCTGAGCCTGGGGGTGCTGAGCCTGGGGGTGCTGAGCCTGGGGGTGCTGAGCCTGGGGGTGCTGAGCCTTGGGGTGCTGAGACTGGGGGTGCTCCGCCTGGAGGTGCTTCGTCTCGCCGAGAGCCACTCTCCCCACAGGAGCTACGTGAGTGGTTTGCCCGGCGCTGGAGGCGTGCTGCTGGTGCTGGAGGTTCTTCGGCTGCAGAGGGTGCTGCTGCCGCGCGTCAGGGAGGTGCTCGTGCTGTGGGTGCTGGAGCTGCTGGGCCTGAGGGTTCTCCTGGAGCTGGTGCTGCTGAGGGTGTTGGCGCTGAGACTACTGCTGGTGGTCCGACTGACAGTGCTCCTGGTGCTACTGGGGGCTCTGGAGCTACTGGAGGTACTACTGGAGGTGCTGCTGGAGCGGGTACTCCTGCTGGGGGTACTGGTGCTGTCCCTGCTGTTTCTGGCGTCGCCACGCGGCTCCGACCGTACTTCGTTCCGCTCCTGCAGCAGGTTCTTGGTCTTACACCTTCTCCTGGTCCTCCTCCTCCTCCCTTAGAGGGTCCACAGCCTGTCCAGTCCCAGTCACAGCTACAGCCTGCCTCCCCTTTGCCTTCTCCTTCTCCCTACACTGGTCCGACTGGAGGTCTTACTGAGCGTCGTGAGCCTGCGTCTCGTCCTGCGTCGCCTGTTCGTCCTGCACGCACTAGTGGCCGCGGTTCGCGTCAGCGTCCTCCTCCTGTCCCTGGCACTGGGTCCGTCCACTGCTCCGTCCACTGCTCCTCTGCGTGCCCCTTTGCCTTCTCCTCCTGCTTCCTCTCTTCCTGCTCTTGCCGACCCGGAGTCGGACGCTCTTCGTGCTGCCAGTCCTACTGTCACGCGTCTCCTTGCTACTGCTGTCACTGACCCTTCTTTCGAGTCTTTTGCCACGTCTGCCCTTGTTACTGAGCTCGTCGACTTTGCTGCGCGCTGTCGTCTAGACTACGCTGCTAGTCTTGTCGCTGAGTCTGAGTCTGCCTGTCCTCCGTCCGTCGGGGGTGAGTGTGCCCTTGGCACGGACGTCCTTGAGGACAGGCAGGAGGAGTTCCAGTGTCTGGCCGCCGCTTCACCTCATCTCGCGTCTGTACTGCTAGCCCCTGAGGGAGACCCGGATGCACTAGACATCCCGACTCCGCGCTCTTACGCGGAGGCCATAGAGGGTCCCTACTCCTCTCAGTGGCAGGCAGCTATGGATGCAGAGATGGCTTCCTGGAAGTCCACAGGCACCTACGTTGACGCTGTTCCCCCTCCTGGGGCGAACATCGTCAGTGGCATGTGGATCTTCAGGGTGAAGCGGCCGTCGGGTTCTCCGCCTGTCTTTAAGGCGCGTTACGTGGCTCGTGGCTTCAGTCAGCGGCAGGGAGTTGACTACTTTCAGACCTTCTCCCCCACCCCGAAGATGACCACTCTTCGGGTATTGCTGCACGCAGCTGGGTCTTGTACCTGTCTTGCCTCACTTGCTTACTTCTTGACCTTGCTTGTACCTTCACCTATATATACTCTTGCTCTTGCTTGCTTGACTCTTGTATATCTCTATATATGATATTGCATGTGAACTGGCCTTGTGGCCCTTGAACTTGTGCTCGGAATGTGTGGTGACTTTGTGATCCACCCTGAGCTTTGCTTTGCTTTACTTGACTGGTCTTGTGACCCCTTGTTCTCCCCCACTTTGCCTATGGGGGTGTGTCAGAATATTATAGCTTACTTATTTGTGTAGGCTATAGTGGGGTATCCCATAGGGGGTACAACCCAACTAGGGTTTCCTATTTGTACTCACTTCATTCATAGTTCATTCATTCACGTTCCTACTTTCACAGCTACCTGAAGATTGGTCGGGTGAGCGGCCGGCGTTGATCTGCCACCCACCGGAAAATATGACAAAACTTATTGCCATGCTTCAGGCATTGGAGCGAGCACGGGATGATCAAAAGCGAAGGGAGAAGTTCACCAAGGGCGTGGAACAGGAGAATCCTGCGTTGGTGAACACGGCAGCCGCTGGAAGGAGCGTGGGAGCTTGCTACCAGTGTGGAAAGATGGGACACAAAGCGTTTGAGTGTGCGGAGAACACGAGAAGCAGAAATTACAAGGGGAACGGTGCGGGATGGAGTGGAGCGCAGCAGAATGGTGCAGGAAATGGAAGGGGACCGAAAGGGAAGTTCAGCGGAGCATGTCATCATTGTAAGAAGATTGGGCATAGGGCGATTGACTGCTACTCCAACCCCAACAGCCGGAGCTATAGGGGACTGCAGCAACAGGGATCAGCACCTCCGAAAGCAAATGCAGCAGCAGCACCAACATCAGCAGAGAATGACAAGGAAGATGCCATTTTGGGTGGCGCACATAAGGCGAATGTGGCGCGCGCATCAGGGGTGTGCATGCTGGCAAAAGGAGGTGGAGCTGGTGCGTGGTTCATGGACAGCGGGTGCACTCAGCATATGACGAATCATTGTGAGTGGTTGACTGGAATGAGGGAATCAAGTGTGCCGTATGTGATTTTGGGGGATGAAGGGAAATTGACTGTGAAGGGCGAAGGGGAGTTGATTCTGCAAGGGCAGTATGGGGAATTGAAGTTGGAGAATGTGCTGTATGTGGATGGATTGGCCTTGAACCTGATTAGTCAATCGCAGTTGGACAGCACCGGGTGCAAGACTTTCTGTGACAAAGGAAAGATGTGGGTGTTTGACCATGCATGGAATGTGATCGCTGAGGGGATGAGGAATGATGGATTGTATGAGATGAAGCTGAATGAGAAGGCCTTGGCAGCAGAGAAGGCTACTTACCAGCCACCACCGAAGGAAGGAGTGATGGCGAGGGAGGAGTTGAAGGCGAAGCTGAAAGGAGTGACAGTAGAGGAGTTGCAGTGGGAGCTGTTGCAATGGTGGCAGCAGCTGCAAAAGTGGATCTAGAGACCCTGCATAGGCGGCTAGGACATGCGGGGATGGAGCGGATTAAGGAGCTAGTGAAGAAGGGCATGGCAGCCGGTGTGGAGCTGAAGGAAGGAGATGGGAGTAAGGGGAGGTGCGGCAAGTGTGTGGAAGGCAAGATCTCAAAACCCCCCCATCCCATACACCAGGTTCAAGAGCCCTACGGTGCAATGGAGATAGTGGCAGCTGATGTGTGTGGGCCATTGAGGGAAACTTCAAGGCACGGGAGCTGGTACTTCGTCACTGACCTAGGGACTAGGCACACGTGGGTGACAGAAATCAAGGACAAGACAGAGGTGTTTTCCAGTTTCTTGGACTGGATGGCTGAAGCTGGAAGGCAAAGTGGGAAGCAGCTGAAGGTGTTAAGGACCGACAACGATGGGGAGTTTGTGAATGCGGAGTTCAACAGTTTTTTGCGCACGAAGGGGATACTAAGGCAGCTGACGGTACCGTACACCCCACAGCACAACATCATTGCAGAGAGGGTGAACAGGTCACTCTTGGATAGTGTGAGGACCATGCTAGCTGATAGCGGTCTTCCACTGAAGTATTGGGGAGATGCCTTGGGGATGGCATGCTGGGTGAAGAACAGGTTGCCTACCAAAGGCCTTGCAGCAGACATGAGCCCGCATGAGGCTTTTTATGGGAGGAAGCCGAACATGGGGTTTGCAAGGGTGTGGGGCTGCATGGCTTAGTATAGGGAGCCGGTTGGACCGGACCACAAGCTCCTACCAAGGAGCAAGTGGGGGATTAACCTTGGGATGGGCAAGGTGAGCAAGGGCTGGGTGATTAAGGACGTGGAGACGGGCAAGGTAGTGGTGACCAGGGATGTCATCTTCTATGAGGATGTTAATTACCTGCAGTGGAAGAGAGTGAACAAGGAGATAGCAACGGGAGCAGCAGCTGCGCTTGATAAGGTGGAGAAGCTGCTAGTGGAGAAGGAGAACGAGGGGATAGGGTGTGATGAGGAGGAGTCAGGAGGTGGTGCGGACAAACCTACCAAGGAACCTCTTTGGCCGGAGCCGCAGAAGAAAAAGGTTATAGAGGCGGCAACAGATGTGGAGGACAAAGGGCACAGAGGAGGAAAATCAGGATGTGGAGCGCGTGGAAAGCAGTGATGGGACAGCACAGGAGGGCGAGGGTAACCCATGGAGACTGATCGGTAGTGACGCTACTTGTGAAGCTGCTAAAGAGTTAAATGAGCTGCTAGAGGATGGAGCCATGGTGATAGGAAAGGAACGAGGGCTTGACGGGATATATGCAGCGACAAAGGAAGTTAGTAAGGATGAGACACCGGCTGAGGAGTTGGGGCGCGGTCTGAGGATCAAGAAGAAACCAGCTAAGTTTGTTTCACTGGTTATGACACCTTGGAAGGATGTGAGGACCCATCTGCTCCTGGCTGCAACTGCAACGGCACTAGTGTCACAGGGGAGTTTGGAGAAGTATAGCCTGCCTAAGGAACCCGTGACTGTTGAAGAAGCCTTGGCAAGACCACAGAGGGAGCAGTGGATGGCTGCAATTCAAGAGGAGCCGGACACTCTAGCAGAGAGAGGCACTTGGGAGTTAGTGCCTATGCCTGAAGGAAGGGCAGCAGTGGGTGTGAAGTGGATTTTTAAGATCAAGACAGGGGATATGGGGCAGCTGGAGCGGTTTAAGGCAAGGTTAGTGGCAAAGGGGTATACTCAGGTCGAGGGGGTTGACTACAACGAGACCTATGCTCCCGTGAGCAAGCTTACAACTGCAAGAGCATTCCTGAAGGTGGTAGCGGCAAGGGGTTATTTCTTGGTGCAGGTGGACATCAAGAATGCGTTTCTGCATGGTGTAGTGCGAGAAGAGTTGTACATGGATCAACCAACCGGGTTTGAAGACGGCACGGATAGGAAGTGTAAGGTGTTGAAGGCGTTGTACGGGCTGAAGCAAGGGAGTGGTATAAGGCGATGGATGAGAGGTTGCTGATAGGAGGGTTCCAGAAAAGTGAGTGTGACCGAGCGTTCTATTGGAGGGGAGAAGGAGAGAAGGTGTACTTGCTACTCTGTATGGATGATATCCTCATAGCAGGAGTTTTACCGGCTGAGGTGAAGAGAGTGTGTGACCATCTTGCTGAGGTTTTTCAGGTGAAACAGATTCCTAGGACAACGCTGTTTTTGGGGATGAACCTGGAGCAGAATATGGAAGAGAAGAAGCTCTTCTTGTACTAGAAAAAGTATTGCAACCGGGTGCAGCAGAGGTTTGGCCAGGGTTTCACCAAGGAGATCACGACACCACTCAGCGGCATGGCAGCAAATGATAACGAGCAGGAAGAGGATGTGAAGCAGTGGGGAGGAGAAAAGAAAGCGCTGCAGATGTACCATTCGATGGTGGGATCGGTTATGTATCCGGTTTCATGCACAAAGGTCGACATGGCGTATGCGGCGAGTTACTTGGGGCAGCATGTGCAGCAGGGAAGGAAATGGCGGGAAATAAAGTGGGCACTTAGTTATTTGGTGCAGCATGACGAGGAGGGGCTTCTCTTTGAGGGAGGAGAAGAGACTTTGCAGCTGGTGGGGTATGCGGATGCCTCACATGCCTCACGTGTTCCTTCTTGGGGGCACTGCCATCATGTGGCAAGCAAAGAAATTGGCGGACATAGCATTGTCAACTGCTGAATCGGAGTACATAGCACTGTTCTTTGCGTGCCATGAGGGAGTGTGGCTGAGGAGGCTGATGAAGGAGCTCGACATCACTATTGAAGGACCTACTGTTGTAAAGTCGGATAGCAAGTCGGCCATTGACTTGGCCGGAAACGACAATTGGCATGGGAGGACGAAGCACATGAATGTGAAGTATCACTGGGTACGGGAGAAGCTTGAGAAGCAGCAGTTCAAGTTTGAGTTCGTTCCCACTGAGCAGCAAGTGGCAGATTTCTTGACCAAGGTGCTACCTAGGTCTAACTTTGAGTATTGCAAGGAGAAGGTGGGGATGCGCAAGTTGCAGGAGATTCAGGGGAGTGTGAAGCCAAATTAGAATCCATGAGGGCTGCAACGGAACAGGGAAGTAGAGGTGTGGTTCATGAACCACAGGGGAGGTTGTTGGAGTGGCTCACGGAACCACACTAATGACGGCGCACATATTACGGTCGAGACGGCAAAATGAAGGCGACGGAAGCGTGTGGACTATTCTAGAGAGAAGCGGTGGAAATCGGCCTACAACGTGAGAAGGGAGAGAGAAATCGAGAAGGAATGTGTAAGAAGGTGGAAGAAGCATCGAGATTGAAGTTGACGAGGGGAAAATGTGGTTTGAGACCAAGGCGCGTTCGAGAAGGTTCCAAATTTGGACTTGAGGAGTGTTCACCGAATTCGGTTCGGTTGCGTGCTCGACTAGGGGTGAAACGAGGCGCACGCGGTTACTTGGGAAACAAGTGAAGTTACGAATCGCATTTTGTGTCTTGCTTCACTATAAACCTGTTTGTACTCATTCTGGAAATACAACATTGATCAGTTGGAGATTCTGAAAATTGCTGAAGTGTGTATTGACAACTTCAAGCAGAGCTATGCATATCATTGGATTCGTGAGATCGTGGAGAACACGATAAGCGATAGCAAGTCGACTATTGCCGACTAAGGTGTTTACGATCCTGAGACCTAGTACTAAATACCGTATGAAAGTCTAGAAAATTGACCAAAATCAGACACCTGCAACAAATCAGACTTGCTCAAAACACTTCGAACAATCAGAATCGCTATAAAGCACTTGCAACAACATTCGGCAAACAAGGGTCACATTATTGCTGATTCTTTGATGCCCTACATTCTACAGCTGTCTCGTCTCAACAACTAACTACAACCCCGTGAGCCGTGATTCACGGCATGCCATTACACCTTGCATGCGAGGTTGACGACGAGGGAACCCCTGGTGGAAATTAGCACACGAAGTAAGGCTCTGGTACTCACCGAGGACAACAGGAAAATAGAAATGCAAAATAACTAAGTACGTGAGTAGGTTCGAGAATTTACCGATTGGCGTGGGAAGTGAAAGCCTGGGCGTCGGAGTAAGCCCAGATCATGTTGTTGTTACCCAAGTAGTTGACAGGACCCAGACCGCCCTTGCCCATACGAGTGAACCTGAAATGAGAATTGAAATGCATGGGATGGTGATTTGAGGAAGGAGCAACCTTGGAGGTGCAAGAACGGGCATCATGAAGGGCGGTTTTGCGCAAAAAAGAGACAAACTCACTTGAAGATCTTGCCACCGTCAGAAGTGGTAACTGTTAACAGGAATGGAGTGTTGGCCCCGCCCTCACTTGGGCAACGCCGACGACTTGGTCGGATGCACGGGAGTAGCAACCGACCGTTCACAGTGGGAGAGCTGCTCGACAGGCTTCGTCGAGCTGCAGAGGACCGCTGTGGTGTTGCTGTCGACTAGGGAGCTTGAGAGCTGCAACTGACTGATCTGGGCGACGGGTGGGACATCGACCTGGACCTGCAGTTCAACCGGGAGGTCAACGGAGCAGTCCGTCGACCTGGCAAGTGAGCAGCGGTCGACGAGGGGAGCTCGGCGACAACCGCTGATGGTTCTGGTCGACGGAAGGGGTGTCAGAACATTATAGCTTATGCATTTGTGTAGGTTGTAGTGGGGTAGCCCATAAGGGGTACAACCCAATTAGGGTTAGTACTTGTACCCAATTGTTTCATAGTTCATGCATTCTCGTTTCTGTTTTCTCATGGTATCGAGCAGGTTCCCTCGTAGGAACTGTTCCTAGGGCCCACCGATTCGATTTTGTTTTTCCTGCCCGGAGCGCGTTCAGCCCTTGCCCGAGTCGCGCTCCCCTTTCTCGACCCCGTCGCGCCGCCCTTGCGGCCCAGATCCGCTGTCCTAGCGACCCGTCGCCTATCCCTGCGGCCCCGGCACCGCCCTTGACGGCCCCGATCCACCGCCCTAGCGGCCCCGGCGCCGCCCTTGACGGCCCCGATCCGCCGCCCTAGCGGCCCCGTCGCCTACCCCGCGGCCCTCGCGCCATCCTTCCTGGCCCCGAACCGCCGCCCTGCGACCCCGCCGCCCTTCCCGGCCCTGATTCGCCGCCCTACGACCTCGTCGCCTACCCCGTGGCCCTCGCGCCGCCCTTCCCGGCCCCGATTCGCCGCCCTGCGGCCCCGTCGCCTACCCCGCGGCCCTGGCGCCGCCCTTCCCGGCCCCGATCCGCCGCCCTGCGGCCCCGTCGCCTACCCTGCGGCCCTGGCGCTGCCCTTCCTGGCCCCGATCCGCCGCCCTGCGGCCCAGTCGCCTACCCCGCGGTCCTGACGCCGCCCTTCCCGACACGGCCCACCCTTGCTGGCCCCGTCGCCTACCTACGGCCCCGGCGCTGCCTTTGACGGCCCCACCGCCGTCACCGAGCCGCCGGCGCCGTCACCTGCTGCCGAGCCGCCCGCCACCCAAGCCGCCGCACCACGCCGAGCCGCCCGAGCTGCCGAGTCGCCCGAGGCGCCCGAGCCGCTGAGCCGCCCGAGCCGCCGAGCCGCAATTGCTGCTCAGCCGCCGTACCACCGAGCCGCCCGAGCCGCCGAGCCGCCCGAGTCGCCCGAGCCGCCGAGTCGCAGTTGCTGCCGAGCCGCCGTACCGCCGAGCCACCCGAGTGGCCCGAGCCGCCGAGTCGACGAGCCGCCCGAGCCGCCTTGTTCGGTAAGAGCAGCGCCTCTGTCACTGCACAGCCCTTACCCTACTGTTCGAGCTGCTAGTCTACTGGTGTCATGGATACCCCTAGTGTCCTTACTTTTGACGCTGAGGGCAGGTCCATTGACTTTGACGTCTGGGTAGATGACCTGCAGCTTTTTCTACAGTGTGATAGGGCAGACAGTCTCTCTCTCTCTTTGACCTCACCTCTGGTACCTCTCCTGCCCCTGCTGCTGATGCCGACGCCACTGTTCGCTCACACTGGGCCTCACGCGATGCTGTTGCACGTCTTGCTGTGCGTCGCCACCTGCCTACCTCTGAGCGTGCGCACTTTAGTCAGTACAAGAGTGCTCAGACCTTGTACGACGCTGTAGTTGCATGCTACTCCTCCCCTGCCACTGTTGCACTGAGCCGCCTCATGCTACCGTACCTCTTCCCTGACCTTGCTGCCTTTCCCACAGTCGCTGACCTC